TTCTAGGGGCGAGTTGACTGCCAAAGAGTGTTGCCAAAGTGCGAGCCAGCGTGTTATTTGATCACAAGTGCGAGACATCGCAAGTGTGAGCCAACGAGCCATGACGTCACGACAATAGATACGAGACGTTACACGAGTTGTGCGAGGTATCGGCTGACAGTTGTGGAGTACAATTCAAAAAACAACTATAGGTCTAATAATGAATTATTGTGATGTTAAATAAACAATGTTAGCTATCAAGGAGCGACGTTTTTTTTCATTGGGACCTTCGTCCCTTCAAGGCTATGCCTATACCATCCTACTATCTGGTGTAGGCCTAGAGTAGGACAGGGAGTTGTAATTACAACTCCCTGAGTAGGATAAGGCTAGCGCGACATGCGGACGTTGGTAAGTGTTGGTAAAGCCTGGTTTCCTGTCGACGTAAAGGTCAGAATTTCTTACGTTTCATACGTTTCTTATGAATCTTACGACTCTTGTTGAAATAATGCCGACGTCAACGACGTTTGCGTTGATCGTGTTGGGCCGCAGATAAACAAGCAATTTTTAACCGCTTACGAAAGTTGAACTTACGACGTTGAACTCCATCCAGAGTCCAAAACGAGCGCTTGCGATTGCTGTTACGTTGAGTTGAATTTTTCTTTCGATACGACGAAATAAAAATGACGTAATTTGTAGTCACTTACGATTGGCTGCCTTTCCCACTAATCCGTCCTTGTTACCCAGGGTTTTCGCGCGAATGTAGGTCTCTACCTCTTTATATTATGAGCTGCACTTTAAATGTTAGCAAAACGTCTCAACATGGATTATTGTAAAGAAGTTAGGCCTACATTATTAAAATACAAAAAGGCCTATTAAATTTTGATGTTTGTAAAATTAATTTTGTTTCACAAAATAATGATGCTTCGAACATTCCCTGAACATTCATGTTTCATACATTGTAATTCTGGGAAACTGAATTAATTGGCCACGGCCTCGAGGTGCTTGTCATCCAATCTATTTTGAGAGAAATATTAGGACAAAAAAAAATTGGTAAGCGGGAAAGTTGGATTGGTGGTAAACTTTAGCCCTAATTGACAGAATAGATATAAAACGGTCCTCACTCCTGCTGTATAATTGGCCCCCTTGGTTTGTGATAAAATTTGTTATTTTCATTTTTATTACTCTTCTCATTAAAATTTCGCAACGACCAACTAATTTTTTGCAGTATTATATTATTATACCATCATTGTCGTCATTACCATAATCAAACGGTGCTGCTGAGCTAGTGCTACTAATCCACTGGCATGTAGGCCTATTTGTGTGTAACTGATACATTTTACAACCCTGGGTTTTAAGAACACTCATGGGACTGCTGAAATTGCTTTCAAAAATAAGAACAAATTGAGGTAAAATTTCAAATGCGATAATTATGTTCTTTTTTTTTTAATCTAGAAAAAAATATTTTAGTCTTATTTTTACATAGGCACAGTAGGTGTGACAATGATGATATCCTTTGTAATACAGTACAGTATATTTGCTGTGAAATAATAATAATTGCTCTGGTTTTATATAAAAAAGAGTGTAGACCTATGAGTGTATTATGTTATGATACGTTTATTGAAGCATGGAATAACACTTGTTTCCTAATTATTACTTGCACAAATTAAAATATATTATTTCTCCCGATTAAACCCATAGGCCTAACTATTAAAAAAAAAATCATACAACCACTGGACTGGAAATAGGAATGGTTGACAACAGATTTATTTCTAAACAATTCGCTTGGTATTATACGATTATAATTGAAACAAATCCTTGTTTATTTTCGAATTCAATTTCAGTATAGTATGATAATAATAGTAACAAACACAATTGTATAGGCTACTGCGTGGATGTGTGGTGTATTGGTAGACTACTCAAAGAAGCAAGAAACACAGAATTTTCATATGGCCTATATTTTTTCTACTGTAGAACAATCTGACCAGTTTCAGCCACGTCAAAACATGGTACGTCATAAAGGCTACGTCATAATTCCCGTATCTGATTGGCTGCTTCTTACGATTTCTGGTCCATAATGCTACGTCTTAAAAACAATTAAAACAAAAAAAAGATTACCATTAATTAAAATACGTCGGGTCTTCAGTCTTTGTTAATTAAAATGTGACGAACTATGTTATGGTTCATTCCGTGCTGTTGTGGAATGATGTGAACATGTAGCTACAATATAAGGGAAATAGTCAAGAACCAGGCCCAAACGCAATTCAACATATTATGACGCTACCTACAATGTATGGTTATTCTCCTACCTTTACCTTTACTTCCACGTCAGGCAAACCAACAATGCACATCTATTTTGACCTCACCCAGATGTCATCCTTCTAGTGCCATTTTGAGGACACAATCATGTCGTAATGAGCGTTCAATCCCCATAAGTTGTTTACTATTTTGATTTGCATAACTGCTCCTGCTTCTACGAACATTGTATTTCTTTACATGTCTGTAGGCCTACAATTATCTCCCTCTATCTTTAGTTAGCACCACATTCCAAAAGCTCACTCTTCAAGTGTGCTTTTCTAATTTAATAATTAGTGGCGTATCTAGGGTTGCCGCAGGGGTGGGGGCGCACTCCTCCCAAAAATCACTTGCAAAAAGTACTAGTTTTGTTTGTTTTTTTTTTGTTTTTTTTGTTTTTTTTTTGTTTGTTTTGGATTTTTTTCAAAAATACCGTGACGATGAAATACACCTAACAGAAGAAAACCGGAAAGTGAGAAAAAAATAAAACAACACAGATGAAACCAAATACCGCCGCACCATTCCCCAGAAATTTAAGGCACAAGACCCGCCAGGATAGTATTCACAGATGCTCGAACGATGTTGGCATTTAGTCCTAGTCAATTCCTAATCAGAAGGAAGCAATAAAGTTTCTTAAATATTGTAACGGAGGCTGAAATACGATTGTTGCGTGGTAGTTTGTTCCAGTAATGTTGTAAACACGTAAGAAAATGTCTGCCGATATTCAGAAGTTGTGAGTGTGACTGGAGGCCACTCGATTCTTAAAAAGTGTTTTCGGAACCCGAATAACCACTCTATATCAATAACTTTATACTGAATAATCTACAATTTTAATTATTCTTGTTATAATTTGTAATAATGTTTTTGTTGTCTTCCTGCATTGGTCTCATGAAGTGATGTGCTTTTTATACAATTATACAAAAAAAACCTTTGAAGAACAAACGAAAACAAAATGAAGTCATAAAAAAAGAGAGAGGAAAACCAAAAAGCGCACTGAAACAACTATCAAGTGGTCTCCCTCGCAGAATTTAAAAATGATACAATAAATACTAAAAAACATAAATTACTTTTTAAAAAACGATGAAATATATTTGCTCAAGTATTATCTCCGCAAGAGATATGTTTTCACAGTCATAAGTTTGTGTGTGTGTGTGTGTGCGTGTGTATGGGGTGGGGTGGTTGGGGTGTGTGTGTGTCACATTTTCGTGTTTTGCGAGAGGTTTTTTTTTCAAAATATTTCATAAACGGCTGCACAGATATACATAGAAATTACAGGGAGTGTTAGGTAGGTCTATGACCCAATTAAGGAATGATTAAATTTTGGTTACGGTCCAGAGTAGGGTGTGGATGTGAAGACCAATTGAAGGGATTTAAGAGCAAAAACTCTACACCATGTTCAAAAACCTGTCAAATTGTCTGAATGAAAGTGTCGTGAGATTTTAACCAATTCGCAAGTAAGAGATTCCTAAGTGCTGGTGGAGCCCTGGACTTTCCTGTGGTGGAAAGTGCTGATGCTCAACATACTGCCTTTGGGTATCTGCGCATATTTATATGGGGAGCAACATTGCCTCGATGGGATAATTTGTATATGAATTTTGCTGGAAATTCTTCTGAGAGTTTTATGGATCTTGTTGGTTTAAATTGTCTATGCACCTTGAGCACATTTGGTGGAGATGTGCGCTTTATAAATCTTTATAAAATTATTATTATTATTATTATTATTATTATTATTATTATTATTATTATCATTTCATTATTATTATTATTATTATTATTATTATTATTATTATTATTATTCAGGGTAGTGTCATTAAAATAACCAATGGATTTTAATGACACTACCCTGAATAGTTTGTCATGTTCCAATGAAGAAATGTTTACATTTTGGTGATGATCTAAAGTAGGGTGAGGATATGAAGATCATTAAAAAAAAAAAAAAAAACCTTTCAGGCCAGGTAGTTCAAAAACTTAACAACTGATCTGAATGAAACTTCCATAAAGTTTAACCAACTTTCAAGGAATAAATTATTAAGTGCTGGTGACAATCAAAATTCGGATGTGCATTTGAGGGTCATTAGGTGCCAGACCTAAATAGGCCTGTCTCTAAAATGGATCAATGGACCAATGGATAAAAATGCAAATCACCAAAACAATTTGTCATGTTTCAATGAAAAAATGTTAAATGTTGGTGACGATCCGAAGTAGCGTGTGGTTATGAGGAGCATTTAAAAATATGTTTACCGTACCGTAGGCAGGTACAATTCTGTATGATCAATTTTCAAATTAGTGCAATTACAGTTGGTACAGTCTTTTAAACTAACTTCACTGAATCGTAAACTGATTGGGAATATTTTAATGCATTTTTATATTTAAACATGTGACGCTAAAAACCAATATCCAATATTATATGACTGCATAATACTTCCATTTCAACACCAATACTTGGCATATATATATATTTTTTTCAAATATAAAAGTTAAAAGTTCCCGTGCGTTTAACGGGAACTGGCAGGTATACAACTAATACAAATATAACGCTTTTCTGGTTGGCCGGGTTGCATTATTTTTCCTACATACACTTAAGGCAGAAATTATAGCGGGCGCTATTTAAAGTCAGGCGAACAGATAAATATGAACAAATGCTTGCTTAACTTTCACCTCGCGAAAGCAGTGTTTGCTGCTTGTGGATCTCAGCGTTAATCTGGTTCTATTTGAGTAGTGTATAGATACACCATAGTACTGATTCAGAAGTATATATACGTTTAGAAATGCTCGGACACTGTATTAAGACGATTTAATATATGTCTTAATGGTGATTTCTTATGAACATTTCGTTTATATTCAATATGAATAAGTAATAGGCATAGATTTATTATTATTATTGTTATATTATATTATAATATTATTGTAATATATTATTATAGCAAGCAGATATTATATTACAAACATTCATTTTACCAACACTGACGATATTCTATACACTAACTATGACGTACCACTGTTATTAAAAACACCCAATTAAAAATTAATAGCTCTCATTTGAAACGATCAAAAACAGATGGAAAGTAAAAACTGATTTACAGACATAATTCGACAAAAAAAATCCTTAAATTTTATTAGCTAATGAGCCACTCGTGCAAAAGAATACAGCAAAGTATACTGTAATTCCATTTCATTATCATTTCCAGGCAATTAAAAAAACAAAAAAACACAAGACTCTGAGGATAATCTAAATTAAATTACCATTGAGAGGCTCAATGTCTGATAAATGACTGGGATTTTTTTTTCTCATTAAAATTTTGCAAAATCATAATCAACACCAGTGTCCGAATACTCTTAATTATCGTCCGCCTCGAGCATTTCTAAACGTTTTTATTTTTCTGATATTTATATTGTGGCCTTTATGTATGTTGGACATTTGAAAACATTTTTCGTGACAATAAATAGAATAAACTTGAACGTGAACTTCAACATCACTACTACTGTACTATAACATACACTGCTACAACACAATGTGTGTATGGCATGTGTCATATCTAGGCCTATACGGTACTCAAATAGCCAGATTCAATATTGCTCAATATACTTTCAAAGACCATGTTGTACGTAAACTGTGTCTAGCCATTGGGTTATAACAGTAGTCCATTAATGTCATACTGTTTGCCTACCAAGGCCTATTTTAGAGATTTTAGCCTACGCCGTAGCTTTCACCCACGCATAAACACTGCAGGCTAAAGCTTACTCCATTCACCAGTCAATCATGCATCCTAACGGAATTAGGCGCTGTATAAATACTAAAATAACAAATAACTACAAAATCTGAAAATGCAGACTCTAAAAAAAGATAGAAATAGTGCTCCTCTTCGAAAAAAAATAACAACAATAACAACAATAAGAACAATAATATCAACAATATCCACAATAATAACAACAATAAAATCAACAATAATAACAGCAATAACAACAACAATAATAATAATAATAATAATAATAATAATAATAATAATAATAATAATAATTATAACAATGCCAATTAAACTTATAAAGCGCCTAAATTAAAAAAAAAAGAACTTGTCACTGGCGCTAGGTGGTTGAAGCAAATCAGCATATTTTGGGAGATTTACTTTATAGAGAGGGATTTGCAGCAGTGGGCGGAGATACTGTATGCTCTTTACCGACTGTTGTTGTTATTATTATTATTGTTGTTATTATTATTATTATTGTTATTGTTGTTATTATTGTCGTTGCTGTCATCGTCGTTGTCGTTGTTGTTGTTGTTGTTGTTATTATTATTATGTTATTAAAACCTACCTTAAGGGGAACTTACACAATGGTGAAATTAGAGAACAATTTAAAAAACGACGTTAAGGGAAAAATAACATGACGTACCACAACCAAATTTAAGATCATAAATCTAGATAATTATGATTCAATAAATAATACTGTACAATGATATTAAAAATACCAAACATATTCTATTTAAAGCGCCCCAAATAAACATTATTTACAATTTCAATTAAGAGCTTTATTTATTTAATATACTTCAGTGACATACAAAATGTAGAATACTTACACGTTGACAAGGCTGAAGGTAGTAATCTTCTGATGATTTAAAAATATTTCTATATTCGAACGCGTCGATAAATGTGTCCTTACTTCCATTATTACATAGGTCTTCAACCCAGAGATTACCATAATCGACGTCAAATATAGCAATACCATCAAACGCGTTTTCATTGAATTCAGAGTTACTTATTGAAATTGGTCCCAAGGTTGATATCTCTATTCCATAACCAAGATTATTACTGACAACAACATCTTTGATATTAATATCAGAAGCTTTACTTGAGAATCTTACGCCTGACCCAACACAATCACCAATATTAACATTTGACAAAGTGGGTAATTTACTTGAATATGCATAAATTGCGGGGTTACCAGCCTCTCCATTTGCGTCGACTCCAGCAAGTGAAATGTCCGTGTATTTCAAAACGCTATGGGTTTCATGCAGTCCGCTTGTTAGCCACCTTAGACCAGCCCAGTAAGAGTTGTTTGACAGAGTAACATTTTGAATGATCGGTTGATTACAAACTACCCCAAAACTGGAGTATCCATCTATGAATTAAAAATCAATCAGTTTTTGATAACGTTTTTGATTATTTTTCTTTACAGATGACTTTTATTTTTAAAATGGATCAAACGTAAATCAACGTAAGGTTAAGGTAGTGAGATGGTGAGATGAATTATGTTAGAGTACAGTAAGGTCAATCAAAAAGGTCAATTCAAGTGTAGTAAATAATTAGGTAAAGCGAAGCTAAGTGAAATAATGTAAAATAAAAGAAAGTGAGGCAATGCAATGTAATTATGAAGTTAAAGTGTAAACATGTATAGCAACTAATTTAAGTTAATTTAAGACCTATAAATTAACAGGTCGTGCTGGGTCCTTGGGACTAGTAGTAGTTCCAGATCAGTTGCACTCCGTTAGTTAGTCAGGACCGGAAAGAAATCCCGTTCTGTTTTTTTAAACTTCTATATACTATGAATAAGAGTATTTTTCGAATAAATCATTAACAGAATATTTACGCTTAAAAGAACTGTGTGATATAATCTGTAATTTTCCAAGGCTGGCAGAATGTATAATATAGAAAAATAAGAAAGAAATTGTAACATCATGAGTAAATAAATAATCAGAACTACATTAATTGTCATGTTAATTGTTGTCAAGTTGTTGTTAATTACTAATTACGGTTAGACTCTAATTTCTTGATTTTTCGTAGTATTAGCACATTTCGGAAAGCGCCACAAGCGTCAATTTATGTCGAGAAACTTTTTTGATGCGAATTAGAAATCCAAGAAAAAGTATACTATGAAACGCCAAGCAAATAGGTAATATGGAACGCCATTGGTGCCAAAATCGATTTCCTAGCTTTCTTACTGATTAAGACAAAGATTAGGGACTGGAACCCAGTCTAAATTACGGTATGTTGGGAAAGTAAACTTACAGCAGCCATCGTTATATGTGTATCTTCTGTTTAAACAATCAAAAATGGTTTCCTCTGTCGAATCACAATATAAAGTATTAAGGTGAATTGGTTCTTGTCCACTTCCAAAATTTCTATAAAATCCGCCTTCGTATCCTAGCTGACGACACACAACCAAAGCAACTTTTGCATAATTTTGTGACGATACACACACTTTTCCCCATCTGCCATTCATATACACCAAAACCCGTCCTTCAAGGTGGTTACTCCCACTGACCAGTCGCACGTGTGACCACTTATGTTGCCAATCTTCTCTAGAAAAAGTTGAATTTCCAAAACCCGTCATTAAAACGTGTTCGTCCTCAGTTCCATTTGTGATCAACGTTCCCTCGACGTACATACCAACACCTTCGGCAAACAGCATCTGCACTCCTGCCTGGATGGTCAGTGTTACGTTGGTCACAATTGTTACATTTCCGGTCACATACACTGGATTGTCAGCCGACGAAAAATTAGTATCTTCTGTTATATCTCCGTTGATAAATGTTTCCGCCACTGTCAAGTTCAAACAGCAAACCCCAACAATCATAATGTACACCAAATGGTGTCCACTGATCGCCATTGCTGTTTGACTATTGAAGATTTTGCATCAGATAATATAGTATTAGAAAAGAAAATAATTCCTACGAGAATTATTAGTGTACATCTACGGCAAGTAATCGATCGAATGTGTATGGTATAGTGGTCGTAATTTCTATATATTATGTTCTTAAATTCAGTGATGCGTGTTTGAATAATTGTTAATGGTAGGGTGGATCACAAAATGTACATTAGAGCTATTTTGGGTATGTTGGAGATGGGCCAGATGACAGGTCTAGACTCCCTTCATATTCTTTGACCTGTTAGGTGTACATACGATTGTATGTCTAAACCATGCATGGTTGATCATTGTTCCTATTGAAAACGTTGTTAGCCAAACCCACGGGCTATAAGCGTCGTTTGACATGCACTTTCTGTAATATTTCTGTTGTATTTCCTGCTTTAACATTAATTTTATAAAGTCCCTGTTTTAAGATTTGGATGCAACCATGTTCAAATATGAATAATGATATTGAAGTCGATATTGATATTAATTAGTATTGACATTAATATTAATACTGTCTATGTTTTAATAGTTTGTAATAATTTTTATCTCTGTTGTTATTCTTACGTTAATTTATACATTGTTTACTATTCCAAACTGTATGAAGTTTAGTGTTTTATTGATCTTTTACAACATTTTAACTTCTTTTAAACATGCAGAGTATATCGTTTTTTTAAATCACGATTTTGGTCCTACGATTATTAGTCTCAAAATAAATGCACCAAGCTTTCAAACTATTTTTTTAGAATGTAATTTAATATATAATGTTTTCTGGTTAACTAAAAGCAAGAAAACGAGTGTTTACAGTAGAAAAGTCTTTCAATTCGTTTAGTTCGATGTTAAACGTAATATTAAGTTCGTTCTATTAAAGTCAGAGACTTTATGATACTCTGATTTTATTTTTAAAAAGACAACATTAAAATTTGACGTAGCAGTATTATGCTTAATTGAGTCAATTACATGGTAAAACATAATATAATGTGTAAAATTTCAGAAATTAGAGGAAATCAGCAGCACCAATTAAAAACACTCACAAAGCTAATGCTCTGATGGAGAGCTAAAGGTTTCACATTACCGCAGTCTCCATAATTTGCAGATAACATGACATAAGCCTATACAGTATATCAGAACAGTAAGAACCCCTGCTCAATAACTATTTCCATGTGCACTTTTGTGAAAAAGATTATATGCTTATATCACAGACCCTATGCTTATATGTTGTGTTAAACAATGTCATAGGGAAACAAACAACATCAGCTTTTTTAGGCCGAAGTGGAGGATTTAAACACAAAGCTCCTCGCAATTTGTCCCGTTTTTGGTGACGTATTAAAAATCTAAACGTGTACATAGTACTATGTGCTTAGGATCTTGATGTGTTAGCATATTAGGTATTTGACATCATGATGTCTATTACATAACACATGTATTGCTGAACTAGTCATGAACCAAACCTTAGGCCATGCCCAAACACGTTTAGTTTTAAACGTATCACCAAAAGCGGGGGGAAAATGCGTCGAAGTCTGTCATTAAATCCCCCACATCCAACTTTTCCAATTAATTCTTTTCCTACAACAAAATGTTTATTAAGAATTTTACCGACTAGGCTGCTACGGTCAAGAGGAAACAGTCATTAAAAAACAGTATAGGTAGCGGTAGCATTTCATACGAAGAAATTAGAATTCCGCACTAAGGAATGCCCATGAGGCAGTTACCAAACCAGAGCCTTGCAGGCGTC